TATAAATCAGGTAAAAATATTTTGTGGATTTTAAAATATGGCCGTTTTAGTGCAAGGGTGTCGATTTTGGGTCGAGTTTTAGTGTTTTGTTCATATCTTCTTCATTTTACTTCGGAATTGGGCTTATGATATACCGTTGAAAAGATTATTTCAATTCCTATCCAACCTAATAATATTTGGATCAAAATTATAGGGCCAAAAAATCAGTTTAGCTCGGTTTTTTGACGTAGACATGAAAAGAGGGAAATAAGTTATGGCTTGGGGAAATGGGCTAAGAATTGGGTTGATTTATGAAATGTATTGGATTAAATATGGATTTGAGCACTCCAAAGATTAAACACTCAACCCGAGAAATAATGACGGTGAAAGGGTGTTCATCATCGGGTTTAGTTTTGGGGAGACATTTTTAGATGTCTATAGGTACATATTCTAACCCTACCCCTCCTTCCTCTTCTAATAACATGCCTAGTGGATGCTTGTTTTGTGATGTGTGTGGTTCATATGATCATGATACATCTAATTTCCCTCACTTTTTTTCAGATGTATGTGATGACTTTGATAGTAATGAGAATGAGCATGTGAACTATGTGTCGAATAACAATGGATTTCGGTTTGATAATAAAAAAGGTCAAGGTAATAGAAATTACCACAACCAAGATAATTTTGACAACTATTGTTGGGTTTCGTAGTGTCCGACACTACGCGGAATGAACCCAAAATCCGCACACAAATTAAAGTAACTAAACATGCATATTAATTAATTAACAATCACATAATTAATTAAAAAGGAGAGATAAAGAAGAAAAGACGATCATACCCTTGATGGATGCTTCTCTCTTTCTAAGAGCTCGTACTTGAAAGCATATAGCTTCGCAAATACGCAAGACTTCAACAGCTCTCACCCTCGAGACCTGACCTGAACGACCCCTACCCCGAAGCTTAGTCGGGGCTAGACCAAAAGTACTTAGAGTATTAGAACGAAAGTATTCTCGCTTGTGGAGATCCTTTCAAGGTCACAACTCAAGTGCCCTTTCCTAATGCCAAATGATCGTTATTTATAGGGAAAGAAGCCCTTGAATTCCAATCTCCCATCAATGTGGGAGAGTTGGTAAAAAGGCATTTATTCAATTTAATTTAATTCTAAAATCAAATTAAAATACAAATGAATCAACAAACAACAAGTGTCAAGTGCAGAGCAAGGGGTTAGGTGAGGACCACAAGGGAGGACAACCCTCCCCTTGCTCCCCAATAAAACTCACACAAACCGGCTTCTCCATACAGGCCCTATCGAAGCTCCCCACCTGGCTCCCAGCCTTGGGCACCAAGGTGCGCCATGCTGGCGACCTGGTGCTCAATTGAGCCTGCCAGCGAGGAGTTGTTCTTGCGCGTAGCCCAGCTCGCAAGCCACGCACGCATGCGGGCTGCTGCTGGGTGTTGTGATGCACTAGCACGGCCCAGCAAGCTGTGCTTTCTTGCGGGCTGCAGTGTGCGAGGCACTAGCATGCTAGCATGCCAGCGATGCTGGCCATGCCGCACCAGCCAACTAGCTAGCGTTGCTAGCTTACGATGCTCGCATGCATGCGCTGCTATTTTTAGCAAGCTCGCACACTCGCTGCGACCATGTGCGAGGCCCAGCGAGCTCTTGTGTGTTGTTGGCCTTGCGATGGTGCTGCTAGCTCGCCTAGCATATGCGGCCAGCAATCCTGGCCTTGCGATGCGCGCAAGGCATGCTCGGCCATGTTAGGCATGCTGAGGTTGCGGCTGAGCCTTGCTTTGTAGTGGCCTTGGCTAGCTATATTGCCCTTGGCCCTTGGATTGCTCGGGCATTCCGTGGCTTGGTGTATATTTGTAACTTGTTATTTGCTTGATTTCGCGTCTCGTGGATTCCTAAATTCGACTTGACTTATGATTCTCGGTTTCGATGCTCTAAGCTCGGAATCCGACGTCTATGTTTGTAACACTCTAATGACTCATTTAATCCTTCGTATTAATTCGTCGTTTCGGTTTGGTTACTCGATTGGGTGTGACCCGAAGGGTTTGGTTAAGATTATGAATTAATATTACTAATTGGAAACAGCCTCCAGTTAGGCATTCCGATCACTTGACCTCACTGAATAATTAGCTTTCTAATAATTCCAAACCCGCTATCGAAATAATACACTTGTTCGAAGGACACCATTCCTTTCATGTATGAACATGTTTTAGGCCTAATTAGTAATTGGACTAGGATTTAAGATAACTTACTTCATAATGCATTTCAGGTTATAACTTCTCAATTACAGGTTATAACTTACTTCATAATGCATTTCAGAGTCCATAAACACTTCCACTTTGATCGAGCATGAAGAACGAGTTTTTATAATATCATCGTACTTCCCGTCGGGATAGGAGGTTAAAAGTAGGTTTCTACAAGTGCTAAGATATCACTTAAAGTAGGAGATGAGGTTATTGAATTTGATTTGAATGAAAGCATGAAATATCCATGTTTATCCCTAGAAAATTACATGATGAATGATTCTGTAGATCATGTTGTGAGTTCTATGCATGAGCACTTGCTCACTTCTAACGATGGCCTTGAGAATGTCTTGTTGAATAAGGAAAAGATAGGTGTTCCAACTTCCAAGCAAGGAGATGGAATTGTATAAAGACATGCTAGATGGAAGCATAGAGGAAATTGATGAGCAAATTTGCATGGGAATTACAAGCCAAGATGCATTATAAGTGGCAACAACAAAGGAAGGTAAAGGTGTTCCAATTACAAGTGACAACAACAAGCCAAGATGCATCACATCTTAGGTATGAATTCCTAGGTCCTAACTTGAATTTTCCCCGTGATTGTTAGCTCCTCCTTGAGTGAGAGCCAAGCTCAAGAGTTATGTGGTGTGTTGAGAAAACACCAAGGCGCATTAGGCTATACCATTGATGACCTCAAGGGCATAAGCCCCGCCTTATGCATGCACCACATTACTCTTGAGGATGGTGCCTCACCGTGCATCAAAAGGCAACGAAAGCTACACCTTCAAATGGGGGAGGTAGTGAAGAAGGAAATTACGAAGCTCCTTGATGCGGGAATCATCTTCCCCATCTCGAGTTCAAGGTGGGTTTCGCTGCTGCATGTTGTGCCAAAGATGAGAGGTATGACCGTAGTAGAGAATGAGAGAGGTGAGCTCATTACTAGAACGGTCACAGGATGGCGGATGTGCATAGACTTTAGACGTCTAAACACATCCACCAAGAAGAACCACTTTCCCCTTCCCTCTATAGACCAAATGCTTGAGCGACTAACTAGGCATAAGTATTATTGCTTTCTTGACGGTTATTCCGGGTTCTTTCGAATTCCCATTCACCTGGATGACCTAGAGAAAGCAACTTTTACTTGCCCATATGGAACTTTTGCGTATACGAGGATGCCATTTTGGCTTTGCAATGCCCCCTCCACCTACGAACGATGCACGATGAGCATTTTTGGAGATATGTTGGAAGATGAGATGAAGGTCTTTATGGATGATTTCTCGATGGGTGGTACTTCCTTTGAGAATTGTCTTGCAAATCTTGGTAGATGCTTGGCTAGGTACGAAAAGGTGAACTTAGTCTTGAATTGGGAGAAGTTCCATTTCATGGTTGAGGAAAGAATAGTCCTTGACCGTAAGATCTCACATAGGGGTATTGAGGTGGACAAGGTAAAGATTGAAGTCATTGAAAAGCTACCACCTCCGGTTAATGTGAAGAGTGTGAGATCTTTCTTAGGGCATGCAGACTTTTATAGGAGGTTTATCAAGGATTTTTCTCTCATTGCAAAGCCCCTCAATGATCTTCTCCAAAAAGATGCCGAGTTCAATTTTAATGATAGGTGCTTAGAAGCTTTCAATAAGTTAAAGAGTGCTTTGATCTCTACCCCCATTGTCCAAGCACCAAGATTGGAGTTACCCTTTGAGCTCATGTGTGATGTAAGTGACTCAGCAATTGGAGGTGTTTTAGGTCAAAGGGTTAACAAGAAGCTTCATGTCATCTATTAAATGTCTAAGACTTTGAGTGGTGCCCAACAAAACTATACCACTACGGAAAAAGAGTTCTTGGCTATTGTGCATGCCTTTGAGAAGTTCTGAAATTACTTCATTGGTTCTAAAACCATAGTCTTCACGGATCATGCGACTCTCAAGTATCTTATGGCCAAGAAGGATTCAAAGCCAAGGCTTATTAGTTGGGTACTTGAGCTTCAAACTTTTTACATTGAGATAAGAGATAAGAAGGGTGCGGAAAATGTGGTAGCGGATCATGTTTCTAGGCTTGAAGACTTTCAAATCCATGATGATGGTTCACCTATTGGTGATAGGATGCTTGATAACTCTTTGTATGTTATAGTGGTGAAGGAACTCCCTTGGTTTACCGATTTGGTGAACTATCTTGCTTGTGGAGAGTTTCCACCTTTCTTTTCCAAGAATCGAAGAAAGAAGCTCAAGAGAGAGTCTAGGCACTATTTATGGGACGATAATATTTTATACAAGCTTGGAGTTGATGGTTTGTTACGACGTTGTCTCCTAAATAAGGAGGTTTCATGTGTCTTGAAGATGTGCCACACCGACCCTAGTGGTGGCCATATGGGAGTTTCAAAAACCGCCTCTAAGATTCTTCTATGTGGCTTGTGGTGGCCACATCTCTTTAAGGATACTTGGGGTTTTATAAAGACTTGTGATCGATGCCAACGAACCGAAAACATCTTAAAGAGGAATGAAATGCATCAACAACCTATTCTTGAGCTAGAGGTGTTTGATGTGTAGGGCATCGATTTCACGGGATCATTCCCTTCTTCTTATGGAAATCAATAAATACTTGTGGTGATCGATTATGTTTCAAAATGAGTTGAAGCCATTGCCTCCCCAACCAACGATCACAAGGTGGTATTGAAATTGTTCAAGAAGATCATATTTCCGAGGTTCGGAGTTCTTAGGGCGGTTACTAGTGATAATGGTTCGCATTTTGTGCACAAGGCTTTTAAAAAGATGTTAAGAAAACATGGGGTGCATCAAAGGTTCGGTCTTCCCTATCATCCAAAAAGTAGTGGACAAGTTGAAGTGTTTAATCGTCAAATCAAGTTAATCCTTGAGAAGACGGTTGCTAAGAATAGGAAAGATTGGTCGAAAAAGCTTGATGATGCTCTTTGGGCCTATAAAACGGCCTTCAAGACCCCTATTAGCACAACACCTTACCGCCTTATCTATGATAAATCTTGTCACCTCTCGGTAGAGCTTGAGCACCGTGCTCAATGGGCCATCAAGAAGATTAATTTTGATTTAGCTAGTGCGGGTGAACAACGATGGCTTGATCTTCATGATCTTGAGGAGCTTACGTTCGATGCTTATGATTGTGCTAGCATCTACAAGGCCCGTTCTAAGGAATTACATGACAAGCTCATCGAGAAGAAGGAGTTCAATGTTGGTGATAAGGTCCTCTAAAATTCTAAGATGAAATTGTTTCTCGGGAAACTCATGTCCAAAGGTCTGTTCTTGGTCCAAGGTGTTTTTCCTCATGGAGTGGTTGAAATATCACCTTTATATCCTCATCCTCATTCAAGGTCAATGGCCATAAACTTAAACGTTATTACGATGGTGTTTTTGTTGGCCTCGTTCATAAGATGGTTCTCTACAACCCACCTTAATAGGTGGAGACCGTTATGCTAATGACGTTAAAAGAGAGCTTCCCAGGAGGCAACCCAGATTCCTAACCTTTTCTTCATTTTTCTTTTATTTTCTTTTCTTTTAATTTTAGCATTTTTCCATGACTAATTGTTTCTTTTGATTTTTGTAGGTTGAATTTTGGAGACATAAGGCGTTGGTGACGATTGAAATTAGTTAGAAATAGCGAAAATTGGCTAAGTTACAAAACAGGGAGTTTAAGCAAGCTACTTGGGCATGATTCGAACTTGGCCAAGTTTTAAAATTTCGGATTTGCTTCTGTGTTGGGCAAACATTTTTGCTCGGCCGAATGGCCTTTCATGCCCGAGCAAGCAGCCGGTTACGCACAGCCTTGCACCCTCCTTGCGCACAGGCTGCTCGGGCAAGCATTTTTTTATCGGCCAAACAGCTCGCCTTGCCCGAGCAAACCTGACGCATGTATAAAGCACATGCATCAGCTTTCAGCTTATTTTCACGAACCTTTTATTGCTTTTCTGCCAATTTTCACACCTCTTTCTCTCTCTAACCTTCACTCCTTCACTCCAATTCTCATTTTAATTGTTTTCTCTTTCATATTTCTTTAATAAATCATCATTTTACATCATTTTAATCATCTTTAACAACAAATTTCACTCTATTTTTCATAAATTTGGGTTTTTTTTTTTATTTTGGTGAGATTCTCTTACAAATCTTGCATTTGGGGTTATCTATCTACTCTAGTTGCATTTTAAGGTTCTATTGCTTGATTAAGGTATGATTTCTTCACTCTCTTTGAATTTTTCATGATTTTACCTTACTACTTGTAACCCTAGTTTTTGCAATTATGAGTACACTTTATTTCTAAGTTCCTTTTGCTTGATTATAGATAAAATTGATGTTTGATGATGATTTTATGTGATTTTCATGCTTATTTTGGATTATTGCTTGATTTTCATGAATTCACCATTGTCATGTATACTTGTTCTTCATGGAGGATGTTGTTCATGACTATATTCACTAGCATGCTTGTTGTTGATCTATTTGGTATGATTTTTTTTATTAAGCATGCTATTTCACCATACTATGTTTGTTTATTTGCAAATTTCTTTCAAGTTTGGTCGCATTTGTGACTCTCTTTTGTCACGGTCATGGTGCCTATGTGCTTTAAGCTAGTCCACTTAGTAAGTGCTTGCTATTACTCTTTATTTTAGCTATTTTTACCAAGCCTACGTTGTTGTTTGACTTATAAATGGCACCACGTGGAAAGCGCCCTCGTCATGAAGCAAGATCCTCTAATTCTAGGCCGGTTGTGCCTCCACCCCCTATCATTAAAGGTACTACGGGCATTGAATTCACTACTACGTATAATGGGCTCTATATGAGAAGCTCTACGAAAGAAGTGTGCGCCCCACAAGATTCTATTGTGATGTGACAGCTAAATTCTTCATTGACACGGAGGTTAAGCATTTGGCTACCAATATAGGCTTGGACGGCTTCTTGTCCAAGCATGCCCTCATCTATAAGCAAATCACATATAAGTTCTTAGCCTCCTTTAGCATCTAAAATTTTCTTGAGGGAAAATGAACAATCGAGTACCTTTCCTTCCAAGTTAGCTTGGTTGTGGATGGCTACCAAACCAAAGGGTTTGGTCGGTCACATCAATTTTGTCGATGCTTTGGTTCAACGCTTGATTAAGACTAGGAATGAAACCCCTAGGGGTGGTGATATCCAATTGGGCGGCATGATTACTATGATTTTGTTTCATGTTGATAACGATAATATTTTTGCTTCCATGCTCGCAAATATGCCTCATGTTGAAGACTGCGGTGACAATGGCATTTGTGCCATGTACTTTCACATGAAGGCAATGATCAAGGCTAAGTTTCTTGAGAAAATCGTAAATTCTTCTCTCTCCATTTGGAAGGTTGCTTGAGATGTTGATCGGTGCCTTGTTCGTAATCAAGATAATGTTGTTGTTTACAATGAGCTTGAATACCCTTTTATAACCGAGCAACACAAAATTCCTTCCGCCCTCAAGAAAAGCTCTCATCGATCCGTTGCTCAAGATCCTCCTTCTTCTACTCGCCAACAACAATAACAACAACATCATGATATCCCTTCATCGCATGAGGGTGGTGAGCCTTCTTCTTCTACTCCATTTATACCTTTGTTGCATGATAATGTTCCATCTTCTTTTGATTTCACATCTCTACAATCCCAATTGGACTCGATTGCAAAGGGACAAGAAGTTACCTCTAGTAATCAAGCCCTTTAGGATAGCCAAGCCTATTGTGGTAATCAAATTTATGCCATGCATGTTCAACGAGGAGACATTGAACAATATGTCAACTATCCCTACTTCCTGGTTCAACAAGGCCTCGTGCCTCAATGGGAGCCTTGGAACCCTAATGAGGGCCCTCGCCCCTCATATCCTTATTGGGAAGGTGCTAACATCCCACCTCATGAACGAGTAGGGACCACCCCGTAGACCTATGATTATAGGCGCCCTGGGGTTGTGATTGAAAGGAATGGTGTCCTTCCAACAAGTGTATTCTTCCGATAGAGGGTTCAGAATTATTTCAGAGCTAATTCTTCAGTAAGGTCAAGTGATCGGAATGCCTATGTGGAGGCCGCTTCTGATCAGTAATATCAGGGTACTATTGATATTACAGCTTAATCTTAACTGAACCCTTCGGGTCGAACCCAATCGAATCACCGATCCGAGATGACGAATTAATCCGAAAGGATTTAATGAGTCGATAGAGTTTTACGAATACAGACATCGGAAATCGAGCCTAGGGCGTCGAGACCGAACGTCGCAAAATCACAATCGACAAGTATGAGCGTAGCCGTAGCTAGGCTAGGCTAGCTCATAGCAAGCCTAGGCGCACCATGGTGTGCTAGGCACCATCGCAGCCTAGGCGCGCCCTAGCAGCCCATCGCAAGCTAGCAACATGCTAGCGTGGTGCTTGGGTGCGCATGGCAGCCATCGCAAGCCCCTCAAGCACCAAGCAGCCCATCACAAGCTAGCAGCATGCTAGCGTGGGTGCCTTGGTGCATATGGCACCTATCGCCAGCAATGGGCGCACCAGGCGCACCATCGTAGGCCCTGGTGCTGTGTGCGTGCGTGCCTGGCATGGCAGCACCATCGTAGGTACCAGGCGCACCATGGCAAACACTGGGTGTTGCGTGCGTGTGTGTCTGTCGTAGCAGCACCATCGCAAGCACCAAGTGCTAGCATGGGTGCCTACCTGGCAATGGCGCACCATGTGCGTGGTGGCTTGTGTGCTAGCTTTCGCATGGCAGCACAAAGCAACGCACCACATGCGGGGGCCCGGGCGCCAGCGTGGTGCTAGGCCTCGCACAGCAGCTAAGCATCACCACGCATCAAGACTGTCGCATGATGCGTGGGTAGTGCGAAGGAGGGTGCGAGGCGTGTGTGCGCATGGTGCGAGGGACAATGCGGCCAGCATGCGTGGCTCGCTAGCAGCACGCATGCTGGCTGTGCTAGCGATGAGGCACGAAGAGTGTGCGTGTGTGTGCGTGGGGCTGATGGGGGCCAGTGCCAGCACATAGCACCAGCACAGCCCATTAGCAGCGTGCACTGGCTGGCTGGTTGGGTGCTGGGCAGCAAGGCCACGCTAGCTAGCAGCCCCAGCTGGCACACTAGCTGGCAGCCAGCTAGCACACCTAGACCCGATTTTGGGCATGGTGTGTGGGGATCAAGGCAATGGTCCCCCCAAGCCTTGGTCCTCACTTGGCTTTCTCTATAATTATGCCAAGTGCCGATTTGTGATTGATTTGATTAATTATTTAATTTTGGAATTAAATAATTGTCATTTTACCAACTCTCCCACATTGAAGGGAGATTAGAAATCAAGGGATCATTTTCCTATAAATACCAAGCTTGGTATTGATATTTGATACAACCTTGAGTGGAATTAAAAAGGCAACTCTAGAAAAGAGTAAACCTTTGATTCGTAAAACTCATAGTTATTTTGTCTGGGTCTTGACTAACCTTCAAGACTTAGGACGCTCGGGTCGGGTCGAGGGTACGATCCGTCGGAGATCTCGTCTTTTCGGAATTTTAAAGTAAGAGCTCTTTAGGAGTGAAGCACGCGTCAAAGGTATAATTCTCGTTCTTAATCTTGTTTGATTAAGTTTATTATGCTTGTTTAATTGCTTTAATTAAGGGGCGGGTCTTGGTGGGTTTCCTTCTGCGTAGTGTGTGGTCACTACGAAACCCTACATTGATTGTGCTTATGATCTGGGGAACACGACCCCTTTTCCTAACCCCGAGACTTTTGGGATATTAAGTCTTTCAGGTCCCCCAAAATTTAGTGATTGGTCTCATTACTTCGAGCTGGATAAGCCAAGCTTGCTAGGGAGCGGTCCCAAAAGGAATAAGAGGATCAGATGGTCAATGATTTTCTTAATGTGGGTTGAGTTGTCACTCCCCGCATTGTCAATCTTGATTGATTCCTTGGCCTCTTTCCCCCGTCCCTATGTTTTACATCTCTCTTTTCTTCTTAGGGACATTTGTATGCAAGCTTGGGGGAAGGATTTTGGCATATGGGGGTTGTGGGAGGTTTGCTTTTGTTGTTGATGTTTGGCTTGAGTTCTTATGGTGATGAGCATTGTGTTTTTTTGAGCTTTTGATAATGTTCTATGGTAATGTTGGTGATGAGAATTTGATGGTGTGATGGTGCTTCTTTGTTGGTATTTCAATGATGAGATGATGTGTTGATGATGATGGTATCACTTTAGGACTTTGTTTGTCCTTTCTCCTTATAATCCAAACT